TGTGTGGAGTGCAACCCAACAGCAGGGATTTCTTTCTTTTTTTGTCCAAATAGTGAGTGTCTCTAATACATATTTTAAACAATCCACTTTTCTTCATTGTTTTAAGGTACCCCTCTCATCATATATTAATTTCCTAGATATATTACATGCCAATCCTTGAGTTTTCTTTAAACAGAAGTTGATCTAACCATTAATAGACTTATATTATTGCACATAAGTTGCAGAGTAAGTTTACTTAACATACCAACTGAAATTTTTAGCTTGTGTTGAGTTTACAGATCAACTTGGAAAGTTAATATCTTTATATTAAACTGCCTTATCTAAGAACAGGGAATATTTGTTCATTTATTCAGATCATCAACTCTTAAGAATTTGAAAATTCGCTATATAGAGGTCTTATGTATTCTTAACTATTGTTTAATAATTTGAATTGCTATTGTGGATAATATGTTTACTGGTTATAGCTGTTATAGAAAAAAAAATGCAACTGATTTTGGTAGTGTGATCTTGCATCCAGCAACCGTGCTGCTGAATATTCTCATGAGTTCTAATAATTGTTCTTCTTAATAAGGTAGTAATCAAATTATCTATAAATGATAGCTTTATCTCTTTTTCAATCCTCCCTCTCTTTTTGTTTTTATGGCTTTGTACAGGATTCCTGCACAACTGTGGTGTTGGAGAAGGCTCTTGAGAGTCCCTTGGACTGAGAGGAGATCCAACCAGTCCATCCTAGGGGAAGTGGGTCCCGGGTGTTCATTGGAAGGACTGATGTTAAAGCTGAAACTCCAGCATCTTGGCCACCTGATGTGAAGAGCTGACTCATTTAAAAAGACCCTGATGTTGGGAAAGATTGAAGGCAAGAGGAGAAGGGAACGACAGAGGATGAGACGGTTAAATGGTCTCATGCACATAGGTGTCAGATTTTTCAAATTCCGCTGGTGACCAGTTTTTAATCTCCCCTCTTGATTTGGGGCTTCACTAATAGGCTGTGTCTTGCAGTTATTTCAATTGTAAGCCATTAGATCCCTGTTTGTAGGGGATAAGTTGTGGGGCAGAGGAAGTCTTCTATAATGATTGCACCTCATTTTTTTAATGGGTCCATTTCCCGTGTCATGACTTTCACAAGTGTTTTTTGAGCTTTTCATCTCCTCTTACGTGAGAGAGGAAATCTAGGGGGCCCCTGAGTGGGGAAAATGCCGTCCTCCAGAGTTGGGTCAGTTCAGTTCAGTTCAGTCGCATCTGACTCTTTGCAACCCTATGGACTGCAGCACACCAGGCTTCCCTGTCCATCACCAACTCTCAGAGCTTGCTCAAACTCATGCCCATGAAGTCAGTGATGCCATCCAACCATCTCATCCTCTGTTGTTCCCTTCTTTCTCCTGCCTTCAATCTTTCTCAGCATCAAGGTCTTTTCCAATGAGTCGTTTCAGTGTTTTCCCTGGACAGTAGACCTTTGTCATGGAGGAGACTCTGGATGTTTTTCAGAACTTTTACCCTCTCCCTGAAAAAAACCACTAGCTTTTTCTCAGATCTCTACTTTCAGTTCAGTTCAGTTCAGTCACTCAGTCATGTCCGACTCTTTGTGACCCCATTAATTGCAGCACGCCAGGCCTCCCTGTCCATCACCAACTCCTGGAGTTTACTCAAACTCATGTCCATCGAGTCGGTGATGCCATCCAGCCATCTCATCCTCTGTCATCCCCTTCTTCTCCTGCTCCCAACCCCTCCCATCATCAGGGTCTTTTCCAGTGAGTCAACTCTTCGCATCAGGTGGCCAAAGTACTGGAGTTTCAGCTTCAGCATCATTTCTTCCAGTGAACACCCAGGACTGATCTCCTTTAGGATGGACTGGTTGGATCTCCTTGCAGTCCAAGGGACTCTCAAGAGTCTTCTCCAACAGCACAGTTCAAAAGCATCAATTTTTCGGTGCTCGGCTTTCTTTATAGTCCAACTCTCACATCTGTACATGACCACTGGAAAAACCATAGCCTTGACTAGACAGACCTTTGTTGGCAAAGTAATGTCTATGCTTTTTAATATGCTATCTAGGTTGGTCATAACTTTCCTTCCAAGGAGTAAGCGTCTTTTAATTTCATGGCTACTTTGGGTGCCTAGAAAAAAAGCCCATAAATGTATGCACCCTTCCCAGCCTCCAATTGTTGATCATACCCAAAGTAGTTCACACACAGCCTCCAGAAATTTGTTAGTATTAACATTTATGTGTTCCCATCAGGTTTTGGCTCCAGCGGGTTCCCCTGGTAATCACAGACTAGCTCTAATTCTCTGTGTGTGCTCTCCAGATTTCAAGGTAGCAGTTTGCCTTCCAATATCAGTTCTCTGCCAGGTCCAAGAAACATCACTGATTCTTCTTCTGTTGATCTTAAAGAGAATACATTAAATGTTTTCATTAACATAACATTTATTACAGGCTTTTTGGTGTATGTTTTGTTCAGTCACCCAGTCATGTCTGACTCTTTGCGACCCCATGGACGGCAACACACCAGGCCTTCCTGTCCCTCACTGTCTCCCGGAGTTTGCCCAAGTTCATGTCCATTGCATCAGTGATGCCATCCAGCTGTGTCATGCTCTGATGCCCTCTTCTCTCTCTGCCCTCAATCTTTCCCAGCATCAGGGACTTTTCCAATGAGTCGACTGTTCGCATCAGGTGACCAAAATACTGGAGCTTCAGTTTCAGCATCAGTCCTTCCAGCGAGTATTCAGGGTTAATTTCTTTTAAGATTGACTGGTTTGATCTCCTTGCTTGAGAGTTTGAGAGTCTCCAATGGACTGTCGGAGTCTTCTCCAATACCACAGTTCGAAGGCATCAATTATTTGGCACTCTGCCTTCTTTAGGGTCCAGCTCTCACAACCGTACATAACCACTGGGAAGACCATAGTCTTGACTATATGGATCTTTGTCAGTTTCTGCTTTTCAATACATCGTCTAGGTTTGTCATCACTTTCTTGCCAAGAAGCAATCGTCTTCTGCTTTCATGGCTGCAGTTATGATCTGTAGTGATTTTAGAGCCCAAGAAGAGGAAGTCTGTCACTACTTCCACCTTTTCCCGTTCTATTTGCCATGAAGTAATGGGGCCATATGCCATGATCTTAGTTTTTTTAATATTTAATTTAAGCCAGCCTTTTCACTCTCCTCCTTCACTCTCATTAAGAGGTTCTTCAGTTCCTCTTTGGTTTCTGCCATTAGAGTGGTCTCTTATCAAATCAAGGAAGTTGCCAGTAGTTTTATTACAAATAGGATTAAACCTTACAAAATGCTTTTTCTGCATTAGGATAATTATTTCTCTCTGTTGGTCTATTGATGTGGTGAATCACAGTGAATTTTTCTATCAAATCACCCTTATATTCTGGGATAAACACCAGTTGATTGCGCGTGTGTGTGCTCAGTTGTGTCCAACTCTTTGCAGCCCCATGGACTGCAGCCCATCAGGCTTCTCTGCCCATGGACTTTTCCAGGCAAGAATACTGGAATGGGATGCTCTTTTCTACTCCAGGGGAAACTCCCAACCCAGGGATTGAACCCATGTCTCCTGCATTGGCAGGCAGATTCTTTACCCCTAGCACCACCTGGGAAGCCCAGGTGATCATGATTATATCATTTTTAATACACTACTAAACTTCATAGTTTATATGTAGGATTTTTTAATATATTTGATTCTATTTGTATTTTCTTAGTATTTACTCTGGATTTTAGAATGGATACTTAAGGAAGATTGAAGTTATTCAGTATCTTTCACCTCCAAGAACATTCCAAGGACCAATTTATGTGCTATCATTCTCTAGTATTTTAGTTCATGACTTTAATTTTAAAAAGTAAGGATTATTAGTTTTATAATCTGTATGTTAATAGTTACTAATCTTATTTCTTTGCTCATATTTCTTTCTTACATTTCAGCCATTCCATCATTTTCTTTACAACAGCAAACATAGTAAATGCTATGTGCCAGGCACTGTTCTGAGCACTTTAAACATACTACCTCACTGAATTCCCCCAATAACCCTATGAAGTGTGTACCGTTTTCCTTCTGTTTAAAGAACCTCTTTCAGAATGTCTCTGTGGATCTCAGTTTTGTTGTCTGTCCCTCTTTTCTTAATTTTACTGACTCTCTTTTAAAAAAAAATTTTTTTTTTCTTTTTTTTACTGGCTAGAAGCTTGGAAGTTCTTAAAACCCATGAGAGTGTACGAGATGTCTCAGAGAGCAGAAGTGGGAAAGAAAGAAAAAAAACAGGATGCTGGGGGAGCACCAGAGCTTAGATATAAGTCTCATGAGCCTTCCAACAAGAGATGGTGCCCAGTGGAACTGCAAGGTCAAGGACCAGAGCCAAAGCAGTGGAGTTTACTCTGAAAGGCTCTTGGTAGGCAGGTGTCAGCCTTTCCCCTGGCAATCATGTGCTGTGACATTGCTATACTTTATCCATCTTCCATACCGCCGATCCAGTCCTAAGAGGACAGTGGCACTGCCCAGAAGTGACTATATCCTTCCTCGAGGCAAGGAAAGAAAGGGGCATTCCAGGGGTCACAGCACTGGAGGTCAACAGCTATGCTTACTGCTTGCATCAGGTGTGGCTGAGCGGGTGAGACTGCCCTAGCCACATGCCTGAGCAGAGCTTCTGGACCCAAGTGTTCAGAAAGCAGCAGTGGGTCAAGGGCAGTGGCCTCAGCTCCGGCTTACCTTTCCCTCTATTTGGTTCTGGGCATCCCTTGTGGACTATGTGGGGATAGAAGGCTTTGAGGGCCTGTAAGCAGGGATCCTGGGAGGCAGAACCAGGAAGCTGCCTCAAGTAGTCAGACTCCATGGCCCAGTGACATACTGTGACAACGGATTTCCCAGATGCCCAGGTCAGACCTTTCAGGGCTTTTTCTGAGATGTACTCTCTCCTGCTTCTCAGCCAAGGCATCTTCCTCTTCCTTGTTTCAGTCCCCTGGAACTGTTTTCTCTCTCTTAGAATTAAGAACCATCTTCAGAAAACAACACGTGAAACCATTTTCAAACTGACTTTAATAATTTTTTTTTTTTTTGCTGCCCAAATACTGTACATGCAGAAGCCATGTGAAGGATTTTCTCCTCAAGGGAATTGGCAAGAATGTTATAAGAAACAGCCGGTAGTCCTTCCTAGCCATCCACCTGCCACCTGGGAGCCACAAGTTTGGGAAGATGCTGCATATAGAAAATGTAAAAGGCTAATTGCTTCTTATCTAAACAGTGTGCTTGTCAGTCCCTATCTGCTCTCTCTCTTTTCAGGATGCATTTGGAAATTCTAAAAAAGGGGTTCCTGCCTCCTGTGAATTTACATTCTCAAGGAGTGGATGAAACAATCAAGCCAGCTTTTCCTAAGGAAGCAGCAGCCACTCTGCCTGTTGAGATGGTGTCTGCAAAAGGCATTCTGGAGAAGAGTGATATATATGTATTTTATTCAAGAAGCAAAATACTTTGAAGGGAAATAAGCTCCCTCTCTCCTCCCATCAGAGAGCCTCTTCTTTTAAGATTCTCCCACTGATCCCGTTCTAGAAGCAGAGACGAGGCCCGACCCAGCATCGTCTGCTGGTGGGGATACTGACCTACGCAGGATGCAGCTGAGGCTGCAACCTCACATCAGCACCTTGGAAATTGTCCATTGCAGACAACCCTTAATTATCTCACCACATAAGAGGAAGAGAACAATAAACCATGAGGAGGTGGAAGGAGCAGAGTCCGCTAGGATTCCCAGAGTTCTTGTCAGAAGCAGCATCTGGGCGTGGATGGGTGAGGACCTGCTCCCAGGGCTGGAAGGAACCAGCCTGTGGGACCAGGTGCCAGGTATATCAGGCTCATAGTCCTCATCAGCTCCAGATCAGACTTTTAAAACCTGGAGGGAACCATGGAATAACTAGCAAATGCTCTGGTTTTGCAGATGAGGAAGCTGAGACCCAGAAAAGGGAGGAGACTTGCATAAGGTCCCAGTTTCTCTGTATGTAACAGCCTTGGAGTCTCTGTAGCCGGCTGTCCAGGCCATTGACCTTTGGGGCGGATGCTATGTTGCCTTTGGGATTCCCAGGGCCCATTTCTGTTTGCCAAGCTCTCTGGAACCCAGGCCCAAGGACCTTCCTGGCATTAATGCGAACTGCCTGGGAGGCTGAAGGCTCCTGTCCTTGCTGGCCAAGTTTACAACCAGAACGTGGGGAGGTTCTCCTGGAGCAGTAACACGCATGCTTTGTGGCGAGCATCCTCCCCAAGCCAGTCTGGGCCCCTGGGAGAATGCAAGTTTCCCTCACAGGCATAGCCTTACTGGGCCCACAAAGGCCTGAGCTCAGGGTTGGGGGGAGAGGAAGTTGCTTTGCTACATGGAAAGATTAAGCCCTTTGTCAGAGAACAAGGTCCCACCATGGGGCATGCCGACACCTGAGCCGCACGTGAGAGGCTCAGCTGGCAAAGCTGCTGCCCGAGGAGGCCAAGTTGCTCTCTTTGGCATCACTGACATCACTCTGAGATGGTCAGGCACTCTTTCAAAATAACCCTTGCCCAGCCAGCCCAGGCCGATCCAGTCCCTATCAGGCCTCACCGGATCAGGCGGGGCACGCTTGCCCTTCAGTCAGGACTGTTTCTGTTTTGCCCCAATCTCTTCTGACCTGAATGAAAAGCAGACTCGAGGGAGAAGGTAGGGGACGAGTCTACGTTCCTATCTCCTCCTTGATCATGCAGGCGAACGGTAGTCCAGTACAGGAAGCAGCATTTTAAGGAACCTCTTTCTGGGTCAGGATATTGGAGAAGAAAACTCCGGGGAGAGGAAGAGAGAGGGAGGGAGAAATGAGCCAGCGGGCAGCAGACCTCTACCCTCCCTCTCCTGGCAGCCACTGCGGATGCCCTGCTGGCCAGACACGCACCCCCCGCCCCCACCCCCGACCCTCTCCACCGATGAGCAAAGGCAGCAATTCGTCCACAGGGTTACACAGTGCAGGAAGCAACCCAAGAAGCAGAAGAGCAGCCTTTCTGAAGCCCTGCTGCTTTCTGGGCTGAAGAAGGCGGGGACTCGGAGGTTATCAGGAGCTCTGGAGCCCCGCCTGGGGGGTGGGGGTGGGGGTGGGAGCCCAGCTTCTCCTGGGCTGCAGGGCGTGGAACAAGGACCCTGGTCGCGTGCCAGGGCTCCTGGTAATGCAGTCTAAGATTGTGCTACATTTCATTTCCAAAGAAGTGCCCTTGCAGGGCTCTAGCGTCTTTAAAGGGGGCGGGAGGCTTCCGCTCTCCTCAAGGCTGGCAGTAAAGAAGAACTCAGGCATGCTGGCCCTGGTGGGTGTTAGGCCCCCGGAAGAACCAGTGATCCCATGAGTGGTGAGCGAGAGGGGCAACCCTCTCTCTCGGCCCCCTGAGATGCTGGCAGTGCCTGGGCTCGCTGCATACTGAGAGCCTCCTTTCCTAAGAGTGCTGGGTCAGGCAAGAGACTTGGGGGTGGGGAGTAGATCGGGAGACGGTTTGACAAAAGGGATGTGATCCTTCAGTGAAGAACCAAGACCTGGCCCCATTCGCTGGAGTCCGACTCATACCAAAGGCCCATCACAGCCGCCCCTTTAGGAAAGGAGTCTGTGAAGGAAGTGGGACAGATTGACCATGGCAGAAACGTGAAGACAGATGCTCTGAATCATCTGTCATGGTTCCTGCTCACAGCCCGGCAGTGCTGCAGGGCTGTCTGTGCCACGTCTTCCATGAAACCTGCCCGAGCAGAGGGAGATGGAGTGACAAAAAGCCCAGCCTGTCATCAGCCCCAGGGTCCCCTGGGGTAAGGAGCAGGCATGTGGAGCTGTGACACTGCATCTAACAGTGCCTGGGAGGAATCATGTTCCTCCCCTCCCCACCGTTCCCTCCTCAAGGGATGGATGCTCCCCCCTCCAGGGAAGGCCAGCAGTCACACGTGCTCCCTCCTCCACTGGGACAGGCTTGCTCCAGAGCAGCCTCTCAGACAAGCCCCTGCATCCAGGAGGCCCAGACAGACCTGTAAGCCCAGCCGCTCACCACCACAGTATATGGAGCCTCACTAGACTTCATTCTCAAGGGAGAAAATCCAGGTGGGGTAACTGGATTAACTTGATTTGGTACAAAGGGTTAAAGGTAATCCCCCAAGGTCAATTTGGGTGGGGAATGACTTCCCATTAGTGAGGCGGAACAGCGGAGTGTCCGACCTCTAGGACAGGCCAGGCCATCCCTCTGGCTAGTATGTGCCCCCTAGCCAACCTTCCCCGGAGGCAAGGGGCCAGCAGCCTTTGACTCCCCAGCAGAGCCTCAGCTCGTAGCTCCCCATCTTTTGTCTTCCTGGGTCCCTAGGGGAAGAAGGGTGACACCCTCTCTGATAGTCCTCGTTTCCTGGGGGTGACTGCACAGTCTGGGTGTCACCGCTCCGTGACACATCAGGAAAGATCTACACGAACCTATGGATCACGAATAACCCCACCACTCCAAAGCTGTCAAGTATTTGCACACCATTCTGAGGGTGTGCACCATTCTGACGCAGAGCGTCACCCACAGGACATACAAATACTCTTCTGCAAGTGAGTTTCCTCCCTCTCCCCACCCTAGGATCCAAGCCACAGAGCCCTTTGCTATGGGAAATGCATTACCCAATCCCAATGCCAGGGGAGAATTTCTGAGAAAGAGAAAACTCAACCCAGCTGTCTCCTCTCTCCACAAACAACAGTTCTCGTCCGGCTCCGGCAAGTCAGCCAAGGCGCTCGTTTTGTTAGTTCTCATTGCCCTCACCCACATTTTGTCCGTGGGCAGTTTTCTTGGGAGGGAGGTGGTCAGGCCCTGGCTTTAGCCCAATGCAGATCCTGCCAGAAAAGGAAACCCCTCAGTGGAAAACGGTCTGTCTCAGAGAGCCTCTGTTTCCACGTCCCCGCCTCAGCATCCATCCCCACGTCCACCTGGCTTTGGTGATGAATGGAGTCCAACCACCTCTCCACGGCTCCCCCCACGTATGCGGGTGAGAGTCATGCCGTGCTCGGGGGTGATGTCTGGGGAAGGGGCGGGGGCCCCAGACCTTGACCCCTCCTGCTACCTCTTTCTCTCCTGCAGTCGTGGACCTGAGGGCTGCCATGTCCATCTTCTGGGCAACCTCTCGCCTTTCACACTAGACCCAAGGAGGCAGAGGGACAGATCTGGGCTCCCGAGCCAGACTTCAGGATTCCCAGCCGGCATCTCACAAGGTCCAGTCCAGGCCCTGGTGCCCACCCCCCGGGGGCCCAGCTGTCCAATCAGGTCAGGGTTTGAGTGGCTTTGGGAAGTTCCAACCAGACAAAGGTGGGAAGACAGCAGAGACAGGAGCGGCGTCAAGAGCAGGCCGGGCCGCTCTCCGGACGGCAGCGGCAGAGCGCGGGAGGCGGGGAGGCCGAGGGGGTGAGTATTGCTTGTACAGAGCTGGTGACTGTCACGGTCTATAGAGTGTAGAACCAGGCTGTGCGGGAGCCCAGAGGCTGGAGCTTCAGTAAGTCTGAGCTCTCAAACACAGACCCTGGTCTGGAAATGAGCAAAAAAAAAAAGAAAGAAAGAAAGAAAATAGAGCCCCTAATAGTCAGCTTCATGCAGCTAATCCCTGAAGGTCAGACAGGATTCTTAGAGCAAGTCAGTCCCAGCCCTCCTCCTTCCTGCCAGCAGCTGCGCCCTCCGTGGCCCCTCAACAAGCCAGGCCCCTTCAGGATGAGCCCCGAGGGGCACAGGGCCACCCTCAGGGCCTGGGAAGGACACCGGTGCTGTCGGGGGCTGCCCACCCTGGTAGACAACATCCCCTGTGAGGCCAACCTCTTGCAGGTCAAGACCATCCAGTCCACACCTCCTGGGGTCCACTGGGAGGGCTCCTTTGGCATGTCGGAAGCGAGGAGGCTTAAAGGGAGACCGGAGGTGAACAATGCAAGAGGAGGCACCAGTACTTCCCGCCAAGGTACCTGGCCTGCAGCCCTGGGAACCGACACCCCCTCGGATCTCACTTTTAGGAAGTGGGGTGTCAGCTGGAGGGAGAAAGCCATCTCCAAGCCTGCAGCTCCCCAGCATTTTCTGCTCCCCGGGGCCCTGGCCAGGGCCCTAGGTGAGCTGCTATATGCTGTGGATGCATTCAGTAGGAAGAGCGGCTGGAGAGCTCGGTGGAAAGGAGGGGTGTCAGGGTTCCCAGAGGGGCCTCAGTGCGGCCGGCTGCAATGGATGCTACATTCCTCAAAAAAGAGCAGCAGTGCTAGGAGAGGCAGAGGTGGAACAACGGACAAGACAAAACTAAGCAGAGACCACCAAGGACAGGCACGGCGGGGAACACGCGGGCTCTGCCCTGAGCCCGGGGCAGGCGGGAGGAACCAATGGCCGTGTCCCCCACTTCCACCCCTGGATTCGGCGGGACGGGGTTGGGGGGGGGAGTCCTGGCCTCACAATTCTCCTTTGGGTTTCTTTACCACGAGACACCGAGAGACATGGGTTTCAGCCCATATAGTCACCAAGACCGACTACACCCAGACAAATGAATAGATCTAACATGGTCACACACAGACACACACACACACACACGCACACGCACACGCGCTAGAGACTCCAAAGACAGCTGGGCCAGGCCCAGTAGCCAACGGGCATGCAGCAGGGCAAGGGGGCCAGAGAGACGTGAGGACTATGTACAGGGGGGAGGAGGTGGGAGGCGGCCACACCCCTTCTCACATCGCAGCCTGGCCTCTCCCCGAGGTCCTTAGGAGCACGAGGGGCTGGTGGCGCTCTCCAGCGAGGACTGGGACAGGCGCCTGGTGAGGGAGCCGAGCGTAGAGTCTGCCACGGAGGACGTGGGGAAGAGTCTGTACCAGCCGGTGACTGCAGCACTCAGGTCCAGCTCGTCCAGCATGATCTGGGCCATGCCCATGAAGCACTTGTGGTCCATGCGGCCGTAGTCTCCCCAGACGATCACCTGCCAGTGGGAGGAAGAGAGAGGAGCTGAGCCGGGGCACAGATGGGACTGCGAGAGGCAGAACTCAGATGGACTTCAGGCAACAACTTATTAAGCACTTATGGTGTGCCAGGCTTATTAAGCATTTATGGTATGCATTATGGTGTACAGACTTTATATATATTCTCTCCATTGTCACAACCATCTAGGTAGAGGTGCTATATGGATTATTTCCACGAAAAGGAAAAGGAGCTCAGAGTGAATAACTAACCCAAAGATACACGGCACAGCTGGGATTAGAACCTGGGCCTGACTTCCAGAGCCTCCTAGCATCCAGGATGACAGGCTTCCAGAGAGGGAAGCAGGCTGAGTCCAGGGCCTGGGCCACAGCTCCCACTGTGTTGCTGGATCACAATGGGATGATAAACATTACCACCAGGTGGAAGAAGGCAGTGGTCAAACTCTACTTCTAGGGGACTTCCCTGGTGGCCCAGTGGTTAAGAATCTGCTTTCTAATGCAAGAAGTGCAGGTTAGATCCCTGACTGGGGAGTTAAGATACCACACATGTCTTGGCCAAAAAAAACCCAAAACATAAGACAGAAGCAATATTTAACAAATTCAATAAAGACTTTAAAAATGGCCCACATTAAAAAAAAATCTTAAAAAATAAAACCTGCCTCTACCTACCAGCTGTGCAACCTGGGGGCAATCGAGTTATCCCCCCCAACCTTGGTTTCCTTATGAATCAACAGGAGGCAATAACACCTCACTAGGTTGTAACAAAAAATGGGTAGAGGGTATTAAGGTGCTGGAACAGGATAAACCATAAATACATTTAAAATGACAGTCTACAGTCTTTGAGAGTTGCCCTGCCCGCTGGCCATGAGATGCTCACCTGCAGCACCTTGCCCTGGGGTCCCTCGTCGAACAGCAGAGCCTGCTGGTACAGGGGGTCACAGGTCTTCTTAGCCACCTTCGTCTTCTTCTTGGCCAAGCAGGCCCCGTTCTCGAGTAGGTAAACCTTGATATAGGTGGCTGAGGGATGGAAGAAAGCATGATGGGGAGGGGTCCCGGGGAAACTGCTGTGGCCTGCCCCATCTCCTAACTTCCACATGATCCTGGAGGGGAGCAGGGTGAGCAGGAGGAGCTGACGAGTGGACAGCAGGTGGACAAGATGGACTCGAATACCAACTCCTCTGTCCTCTCCTCCCATCCCGCCCCCTCACTGGCCTTCCAGGCCATCCATGACTCCACTGTTGAGAATACTGATTAGGCCAATGGGGAGCCAGGACTTGCTAGACCCAGAGCTCAGCTGTGAATCCCTCCCTGGCAGGACCCCATTTCCAAGATCCCTCATCCCAGCTGCTCTGCCTCACCTGGGAGGGATTTGGAGCCAGGTTTGGGGGTCAGGCCCCGAGCCTCAATCACTTCCACCTCCAGCTGGCCACTCCGGTCCATGATGGCAATGTGCACATCCCCTGCAAGGGAGAAGGAGAACAGTCGAGGCAGAGTCAGACCAAGGGGCAGGCTGGCCCACAGCATGCAGTCTGCAGAGGATGCTCCAGCGCTGAAAGGGCACAAGACGGACAAAAACTGCATGCGCTGGAGCTGCTCTCCAGAGGCCAATTTAAAGCAGTTGAGAAATGTTTTCATAGGGCCCTTGGGGTGGGGTGGGGGCGTGACCCTCCAGGGCCCTGCTTAGGGAATCTCAAAGGAAAGCTAGGTTGGGAGAAGGGAGGGGGCCTGTTTCACTGAGCGGAATAGCAAGTCTGGGGACAGATTTCTGTATCAGGAAAACAGGGGAGGCTGTGTGCTCAATAGATGTCTTCACCTTCTACACAGCAGCCATCAGCTGCTCCCCTAAATAAACATCAAACAGATACTTAAAGAATATCAGTTTGGAGAGGTGACGAGATACAAGACTGCCCGGGCCATGAGGCACGCCCTAGAAATGAGGGCCTGTTCCCACCCTTGATAAAGGATGGGGGAAGGCAGCAGATATCCCAGGAGTACAGAGTTGTTGTTCAGTTGCTCAGTCATGTCTGACTCTTTGAAGCCCATGGACTGCAGATCGCCAGGCTTCCCTGTCCTTCCCCATCTCCTGGAGCTTGCTCAAACTCATGTTCATTGAGTCAGTGATACCATCCAACCATCTCATCCTCTGTAATCTGCTTCTCCTGCCTTCAATCTTTCCCAGCATTAGGGACATTTCTAATGAGTTGGCTCTTGGCATCAGGTGGCCAAAGTACTGGAGCTTCAGCTTCAGCATCAGTCCTTCCAACAAATATTGAGGATTGATTTCCTTTAGGATTGACTGATTTGATCTCCTTGCAGTCCAAGGAACTCTCAAGAGTCTTTTCTAACACCCAGCTCAAAAGCATCAGTTCTTCAGTATTCAGCCTTCTTTATGGTCCAACTCTCACATCCATACATGACTACTGGAAAAACCATGGCTTTGACTAGATGGGCCTTTGTTTGCAAAGTAATGTCTCTGCTTTTTAATACACTGTCTAGTTTTGTCATAGCTTTTCTTCCAAAGAGCAAGCGTCTTTTAATTTTATGGTTGCGGTCACCATCTACAGTGATTTTGGAGCCCAAGAAAATAAAGTCTGTCACTGTTTCCATTGTTTCGCTGGGTCATTAAGATCTTTTTTGTATTCTGTATATTCTTGCCACCTCTTCTTAATATCTTCTGCTTCTGTTAGGTCCATATCATTTCTGTCCTTTATTGTGCACATCTTTGCTAGTCACTTGGGATGTCCTTCAGAGGGGTAGACAGGGAATTCTCTGGCAGTCCAGTGGTTAAGACTCTGCTTCCACTGCAGAGACACGGGTTTGATTCCTGGTCAGGGAATTAAAATCCTGCATGCTGCATGGCCAAAAAAAGGGGGTTCAGAATCATAAGCCTGATGCAGAAAAGCTAAAATGGGCCAGACTCTGGGTTCAGCCACTCATTTTAGAGTCTGAACCATTATGCCACTGTGTATCTGCACACTTTGGAAGATGGGGACTTATGACTTTCAGGAGACATCCTGCAATTCATCCCTCTCCCTCTAGCTATTCCTGACCTCCCCATGGGGAATGGGGAAGGGGAGGTCTCAGGAATTAATTAATCTTAACTCTCACTGTAACATCCCCAACAAGGAGAGCCAATGCAAACCTGTCCTTCCCAATTTAGGACACCAGGGGGCGCCATACACGAGTGTTCCAGGCTGCGATGGCGCATAAGCCTTGTGCAAGTGGCTGGTTTTTCTCACCACCTCCCAGTCCTTGGCTGGGCCTAGAGCTGGAAAAAGCAGACTCTCCAGGCCCTTAAAAGCCTGAAAGCAAGGACTGGGAATTAGCCAAATCCCACCCAAGAGCCAGATGGGAACTGCCACTTACCCTCTGAGGGTCCCTATGGACCCTCTTCCAGTAGACAAAGGCTCCTATGTGAGCCGTTTCCAGGAAGACAGGGCAGTGCAGTGGGAGGAGTCCTGGCCTGGAATGGAATGTCAGCTCCACTGCGTGGTCACAGCAGGGCACTGTCTGCACTCAACTTTCTCATTTGCTGCGAGGTCGAAGGTTAGACACTGTCTATGTGAGGGCTGAGTGCAGACGTCTGGGTCAGACACTGCTCAGGTCAGACTGATGGGGAGGGAGGGGTGGAGGCGAGTGGGCATCTCTAGGGAAGCTAGCCTGGGAGCTGCTGCTTGAAGCCAGCACAGCCAGAATCTGAGGGAGAGAGAAGGGGAAGGAGCCAGAACTGCAGCTAAGAGGACCAAGAATAGACCGTAGGGAGTACTTGCTAGCTACAGAGAGGGGGGATAAGAAAATTACTAAAAGGCTTCTAGGTGCCAGGCACTGTTAGAAGTAACAAGTCAAATAAGACACAGTTTCTAAGGCGTAAATGAAATATTTCATGCAAGGCATCACACAGGGACTCAAAAATTGTCTTCAGATTGCAGAACTAAGGCAGGCATTATTATTCCCATTTACAGATGACCATACCAAGGTTCACAGAAGGGACGTGGCTTGCCCAAGATCCCACAAAGAATCAGTGACAGAGCAGAATCCGTGGATGTCGATGCCACGATAATCTTTGTTCACCATCTTATGCCTGGCACTAGCACTGCCGGTCGTACTCCTGCCTGGAGAATCGCATGGACGGAGGAGCCTGGTGGGCTGCAGTCCATGGGGTCGCGAAGAGTCGGACACGACTGAGCGACTTCCCTTTCACTTTTCACTTTCATGCACTGGAGAAGGAAATGGCAATCCATGCCAGTATTCTTGCCTGGAGAATCCCAGGGACGGAGGAGCCTGGTGGGTTGCCGTCTCTGGGGTCGCACAGAGTCGGACACAACTGACGCGACTTAGCAGCAGCAGCACTGCCGGTCACATAGTAGGCGGTGAGACAGTGGGTGAGAGTGGTGATGTGAGGGAGGGAATGTGCCAGAAAAGCTGCTGCAGTGTGGCCAGCAGAGAAAGGCTGGAACCCTTCTCCTCTCTGCTGTGGGAGGGACTGAGGCTCGCTATGCTGACGCCTCCTCACTGGCACAAGAGCCAGAGAGAGGGCTCCTTTCTGCGGCTTGTATTGCATCATGTGGGGGCCCCGCTGAGCTCACCTGTTCTGCGGCGTGGCTGCCACTGCCCTACTCACCCTGCCCTTAAGAAGACTCACCCAGGACTTCCCTGATGGTCCAGTGGTTAAGAATGTGCCTGCCAATGCAGAGGACATGGGTTCAATCCCTTGTGCAGGAAGACTCCACTTGCCTCGGGGCAACTAAGCCCATGCTCCACAACAATGGAAGCCTGAGAGCCTTAGAGCCCGTGCTCCCTAACAAGGGAAGCCACTGCAATAAGTCGGAGCACTACCACTAGAGAGCTGCCCCCACTGGCTGCAACCAGAGAAAGCCCATGTGTAGCAATGAAGATCCGGCACAGCCAAGATTAAAATAAATAATAAATAAAAGAAAAAGACTCACCCATTGGCGGTGTTGCCAGCGTCTGTCGCCCCACAATCTGGGCTGGTCCCAGCCCATCCAGGAAATCGCTGAACTGGCTTTCGGCCCCAAGCCGGGTGGTGGGGAAGATGAACCTGGAGAAGGGGGCAGAGGGGTATGTGAGGGTATCTGGGTGGCGGGAGGCAGTAGCACTGCCCCTGGGGCACTGGGTACTCCCTCTGTGCCCCCAATCTCCCCTGGACATACTGAAAGTATACCACTGTGACTGGGGACAAACAGAACTGTTCATCTCTGCACATTACAGAAAAAGACTTTGATGTCACTTGAGCAAAGAGACTAACCATCATGATATTAAATCTTCAAGCGCTAGGATTTCTAAGGTGACCCTGAAAAGGCAGGACTTGCTAGATACTTTGTGTCCTCACCAGGGGTGTTAATGCCAAGAACCAGAGACAAAGGTCAGATATTTCAATGCCTGGAGCAAGTTCCAAAAACAGAGGCTGAGTTGACTATGAGTTTGAAATCCAAGTCAGGAATGTCAGGTGGCGCCCTAAACAGCAACTGAGACCAAAATAACACAATTACAGGGTTGAGATTAATGACAAGTGATTGGGGGGGGGGGGTGGGTGGTCCACGGCTGTGGGTGGAAATAGTAATGAGAAAAACTGACAGTGATTGAAAGTTGGCCAGATGCCAACAGTGTACTACATGCTCCAAATGGGTATGGTTTCATCTGCACAACCACTGTAGGTGGCAGGAGCTATAATCCAGTTTTACAGATGAGAAAATGGAGGCTCCAAGAGGTAAGAAACTTGCCTTGCCTACAAAACAGAGCTGACACTCAACTCATACAGGACGATGGTGAGGATTAGGGCAGAGGGAGCAGGAGAAGTTCCAGACAGGAAACAATCGGCAGTAGCTATTGCCACTGCTGGTGTGACCATCATAGGAAATGTGCTACTTTTGCATGTCCTCAAGCCCAGATGTTCTGGGTGTGGCCAGCAGAGAAAGGACAGGTGAGGGAGGGCTGGCCAGAACTGCCCAGAGGCTATAATGGACCACAGGATATTCCCAGATCTCGTAGGACAGCCCAGGCTCCTGCCTCGAGAGAGGAAAGGCTGTCCCAGAAGCAATCCCCTGTTGGACCCTTTGGCCTGAGTTCCCTTTGGCCAGAGACAGGCAGGAAGGGGAGACAGGCTGAATACACTTATCAGAAGGGCCTATGTCTCTTCCTTGCCAGGCTCAGCCTCCACTCCCTAGAAAGGGGCTTTGAGGTCCATCCATTTGTATTGGCCAGAGTTAGCAGTAGTCTAACATCACATTTTTTGGATAGTGGGATCTGAAAAGGCTAAATGAATAGCTGACAGTCTCGATTCATGTACTTGCCTCAAAACTTCACAGATCTGTAAAACACAGGCTGGTTATAAAAGTCATCACCTCGGTAGAACCAAAAGTTACCTTGCAGGTTTGCTAAGTTATTTCAACTTCTTAGGTCTCAGGCATATCAATGGCCCAGAGGGAGTTTACTGAACATGCCTTATGAATACATATATGTATGATAAATATTTCTCATCACAACAAGAACACTAGAACACCTTTTAACTCAGTATTCCCAAGGCTAGGCACCCATCCCACACAGTATCAAAAGCGAGCATGATGGACCTCCCTGGTGGCGCAGTGGCTAGGAACCCGCCTGCCAATGCAGGGGACGCAGGTTCGATGCCTGGTCCACATGCTGCAGAGCAAGTAAGCCCATGCACCACACCTCCTGAGGCCTGCATGCTCTAGGGTCCGAGAGCCACGACTAAGGAGCCCTTGTGCTGCAGGTACTGAACCCCGCGTGCCCGCAGCCTGTGCCCAGAGAAGCTACTGCAGTGAGAAGCCCTTGCACCGCAACCACAGAAAGCCCGCACGCAGCAGCAAAGACCCAGTGCAGCCAAAAGCAAATAATAAAGCGAAGAAATAAATACAGTGTGTATACGCCAAAAAAAAAGTAGGCATGATCCCAATGTTCATAAGCAGCACTATTCACAATAGCCAAGATGTGGGAACAATCAAAATGTCCATCAACAAATGAATGGATAAAGAAGGTGGGTGTTCTATGTATCCATAAATATATATATTTATCCATATATATATAATATATCCCCATACAATGGGATACTACTCAGCCATAAAAAAGAATGAAACAATGCCATTTGTAGCAACACGGATGGACCTGAAGATTATCATACTAAGTGAACTACATGAGAAAGAGAAAGACAGATGCCATATGATACCACTTATTCATGGGATCTAAAAAAAATAGTACAAATGAACTTACTTACAAAACAGAAACAGACATAGAAAACAAACATAATGGTTACCAGAGGGAGGGATGGAGGCATAAATTGCACATATGGGATTAACAGATATACCCTACTATATTAAAATACAAACAGAGCACTACATTCAATATCTTGTAATAAACTATCACGGAAAAGAGTCATAAAAATAATATAGACATATACATAAACATCACCAAATCACTTTTCTATATACCTGAAACATAATATTGTAAATCAACTATACTTCAGTTTTTTAAAAAAGAGAAAGGATAACAACAAAAGGAAATATAACTCTTGAGGTCACAGAATTTCAGGAGCTTAGTATAGACAGTGCTGAGATTGTGAACAAAGATTTTGGGGTCAAATGTCCTTAATTCAAAACCTGACTTCACTATCACTTTATAGCTGTGACCTTGGGAAGGTGCCATAGCCTCTTCCTGTGCCTCAGTTTCTCCACCTGTAAAACGGAGAGACTGGTAGCACCAACATCCCCGAGGGCTACTGTACTGACTGGACACTGTTTTGGGCCTGATAGTGGCTGGTAGATTGCAGAATAAGAGGCCCTGATCTGAAGAGCCAGCAATGCCCTGCATATGGTAAGACAAGTTCAGGCAGCTACTCACATTCACAGAAGCAGGCATAGTACTGAGATGTGATCACAGAATCTCAAATAATAGGGCCATAGAATTCTGAAATTATTGAGCCTTAATGAAGCTGATTCAGAAAATCTTAGTCATATATCCATCATTTCATAGATTTGAAGAGATCAAGGGAATATCTGACCCAGAGACTTTCAAATTTTTGACTGCAACCCATACGTATATGTAAGAAATACATTTAACGTCATAGACCTATGTGCATCTATATATACAAAAAGAAGTTCACAAAGTAACTCTTCCTTCCTCCATAGTATATACCTGAATTTTCTATTTCCTTTTCTAATGCTGGTTTTGACCCACTAAACTGATTTGACTTCCCGCCTGTGAGTCACCATCCAGTTTGAAAAAACACCAATCTAGTCCAAATTCCTTCTCTAAGCTCCAAGTAAGTCCACCTGTGAGAATGCCATTCATCTGAGCTGTACCAGCTGCTTTGCATTTAAAAGATTTTAGGAGCCCATTTTCCTTTCTAGCTCTCTCCTCTGGATTGGAAGGGCGGGTGCGTCCTGGGAGGTGGGAGGCATGAAACATCCCAAAGGGATGGGCTACTCTTGGCCACTGGAGTATTCTGATGGGGAACAGCGGCCAGGAGCAATAGGAAGACTGGGGCTCAGGCAGCTGGTGTCCACAGGCTGGGGACCAAGGGAGGCAGGAGTACAGAGGAACTCAGCTATCTGGCCTGCAAACCCAACCAGATTTTCCAGCCCTGCGCTGGTGACCAGAGGACCCAGGTGGAGAGTGGGGACACGGCAGGGGTGGGCTGAACGCACGTGCCATCGGAGCTATTGCTGTTGGTGCTCCCGTCTGTGGACTCCCGGCTGCCCTGGCGAGGGACCCGACTCCGCATCTCCACGGCAACGCCCGTCTCCGTGCTCCGCCGGATGTTGCTGCGCAGTTTCTTGGTGGCCCCTTCTGTGACCGCCCGAAGCAGAGAAAGGCAAGAAGGTCAGATCGCTGATGAAGCTTCGCTGAGATCACTGCTTAAGTCAACCTCTTGGGAGGGGGCAGGATAGGCAGGGCTCTGACTGGAGGCAGGGGCAATGCTGAGATGACCTCTAGAGCCAGCCCACAGACTGACCCCTGGTCCTGCTCAGCACAGTGACGCAAAGCAGATGAGAAGGATGGCTGAAGGCAGAGTGGAGATGTTGGGGCTATGGGTGGGGAGTCAGCCGAGTTCAGCCCTTGTCCCTCAGCTTCATCCTCACCAGGATCCCCTGACCCACACCTTCCCACTCAATCTCAGCCCTTGCCCCAAAGAGTTAAGTTTCTTCTTCTGGAAAGTTTGCCTTCTCCAGAATTCTCAGATTTGTTTTTCCTTTTCCAAATACTCTCACGAACCCTACCACCCCCAGAGATCACAAACAACTCTGTGAAACCTTCACAGGTCCTATAAAAAAAATCCACATGAACTCTGGTCACTGGCAAACTAACACCCATTGTCAATATGGCTCTGAATGTGGAGGGGGTTGTGTGTGGAAAGGCCACTAGAGAAAGAAGTCAGAGAGAGACTGCTAGGTTGACCTGAACTGATTTTGGCTTTGAGGAAGAACCTCAAAAGCTGTGTGTTGAGAGCTTACCCCCAGTGTCTCTTTACCTCCCGTCTGGGGAGGTGGGGGGGCTCTACATCTCTAACCCCTCTCTTTTGTCTTGCAGGGAACATGGGACACTTTGCTTCTCTGAGCAGCGTACCATCCTGCCTGGTTTCCACGGCAACCTCCTCAGCATTGCAATGTGGTCCCTCTAGACACTCTCTCCTCCTGGGGGCAGGGCTAGGGCAGTGAGGGGGCAGAAGACAGCTTGTGGGTTTGCAGGGACTTCCCCTCCTGGAGCTTGTATGCCTGAGGATCTTGATGGGGAAGGAAGTGGTGGCCCTCAGAGAGGGAGGGTACCAAAGGAACCTTCTGCTGTCACTGGTTAGAGGCCCAGGCAAATTCAAAGCGGAGTTGCTTACAGGGATGGGGAGAGGCCAGGGTGAGGCAGGCAGCACAGAAGCATGGGGAAGGTGGAGCTGGTCACCCTGGCAATTCCCACTCACACCCAGCAGTGGGTTGGGAAAGGATATTCAAGACCCCAGCCTGGGAAAAACAGGGACTTTATCCTCCTGCTTCGCCCTACTTATTTTTCAGGAAGTCCCATTGGGAGAAGAAAGGCTGAGAGGGGCAGCATCACTAGTGAGTGGGATGTGGGACTGGGAGTGGGGGTGCTGGTAAGGAGGAATGTCTTCTCTGAAACCTACCTAGCTTCTGGGATATTGGAATAGCTACTATCCAGGAACCAATAAGATCATCAAAGTGTCTGTGTTTCTTACACACACACATATTCACATAGAGTCATATTAGCTCATGCATTTCTTTCACTCAGGCACACACACACAGAGTGCCAACAATCACATGTATTGATACAGTGATCTCACATACAAGGTCATGTGTTATGTTCATATATCAATCACACAAGTCACACATATATCACACACAAGTTACACACTACCAAGTCTTTGTCATATGTACACACGACACAGTTTGCCACATGCATGTGACCTTCACACCACAGCACTAGGAGTTGAACCCATCTGCTCAATCATATATATAGATGCAAATCCAAAAAATGGTGTGTGTTCCACCACACGGGACTGGGCAATCATTGTAGGTGGGGGAGACTCGCCCTGTCCCTTGGTCCTAACTATCACAGCCCCTCTAATCCAGTTAGAAGACAGAAGGGTCTGTGGGGGCTGAACTTTATCTTCCTTCTCCTCAAATTCCCCCAACATATACCCTGAGCTGAAGTCAGAGCCTTACTACTCATGACTCCAGACTCCCTGCTTCTAGAGCTTGGGAAAGCTTTGACCCATTTGAAGAAGGTTTACTTTCTTTGAGCTGCCCGACCTACAGTGAGCCACTGCTTAGGGGAGTTACAGAATCCTGAAATGCCCCTGTCATTTCACAGATGGGGACCCTAAAGTCCAGGCACTCATAGAACTGAGTGAGACCTAGGCCCACTGACTCCCAGTCCACTGATGTGCTATTTTTCACTTCCCTCCACCAACTCCACATTGGTTTGAGACGTGATTCAGCAGAGATTAAGTTCTATGTCTCTGGGTGGGGAGGAAGGTCTTGCAACCTCAGATAAAATTCCTCTACTGGTTTCACACCAGTCCAGTATCTGAACCCTGTTGATCTAGGAAGTAACTTTACGTAGCCTTTCTCCCTAGAGAATTGGACCAGGTTGCTTGCAACAATTCTGTGGTCCTTGGGGACCAACAGATTCCAGGAACCATCCCATCTATCCCACCACAAACAAGGAAGAGGAAGTCGGCTTCCGACAGCACTCCCCAGGGGATCTCCTGGAATGATCCTGAGCCCTTGCCCCACCCTGGTCCAGAGTCCAGAGCCCAGAGCGAGGCAGCAGCTGTCCTTGGTACTGAAAAGAGAAGCTCTGTTTGATCAAAGGCAAGAACAGCCAAACATGGCCCTGTGTGGACCCAGCCAAAGGCCAGACCAGAGCCCACTTGTTTCCTGGGAACCCAAAACTCTGACCCCACTTTCCTCTCTGCTCCCACAACCTAAAGAATGTTAGATCTAGAAGGAAGCTCCATTTTACAGAAGAAGAAACAGAGGCCCAGTGGGAAAGTGAGTTTCTCAAGGTCCCTCAAGTGAGAGCCAGGACTAGTCCTCTAAAGTTTCAGGGTGAGTTTTTGGAAGGCCATTCTAGGGCAACATGAGGAAAATAAAATGAACGGAACATGCAAAAAGCAGAGGAACTAGAGGGGAGGCTGGTGCAATCATCCAGGCTTTGAAATGAAGAGGAGAGAATGGGCAAGGCTCAAGTCAATGAGAGGTATGGAAGATCCTGGGATGGGAAGACCCAGAACCCAAATAACTGGGTCCCAGAGAGGGGTTTGTCCCCACTTTACACAGCCCTGCCCTTCAGAGAACTGGGCCATCCCAGCGGGGTCACACTGCTAGGATCCTACCCCAGAGCAGAGCTTCCGGGCCAGTGTCCACAGTGATCAGCCCCAGAGCTCCCTCTGGGGCCAGACTGTCCCATCCAGGAGGATGGTCTCTAAACTGGGACACTGGCAACCTCAAGGCCTGGGAGAAAAGAATAGGGACAAGGAACTGTAGATGGGAGGGGAGTATGCTACAAGCAAGGGGTGGCTAAAGAAGTCATTTCTTTTTTGGCCCTACTGTGTGACCATCAGTAATAATAATGAAAAATTTACCAAGTATCTACTATGTGTCAGGCAAGAGGTGGGGATACCTCTACATATCCTATCTCATTCAGTCCCCTGGACAACTCAGCAAGGCATGTATTATTGTCCGCATGCTATAAATGAGGAAGCGGGCTCACAGAGGTGAAGTAGCTTGCCTAAGCTGCCCAGGTAGTAAATGACAGGGTGTCTCTCTGAAGGTCGATTTAAAGTCCTTATCTTTTCCAGGCTCAGATGCCTCATCGATGAAATGAGTACACCGGACAAGAGGGTCTCCAGGGTCCCTTTCTGCTCTGACATTTGGCAACTGGATGATTCACAGAGGCCTTCAGTTAAAAGGGCAGTGGGCAATTCCCCTGGCCCCCCAGGCCTCCAGCCGTGCCCTTGCACTCTGCAGAGACAAGTGATCCAGAAGCCCCGTCATTGATCGTTTCTCCACAAGGCTGGAGGTCGTCCTGGTGTCTGCTCCAATCCCTGCCTGCTAACTGTGGAGTCTGGGTAGGTGGACAGTCCCAGGCATATCACTGACATGTCTCTCAGTGACTCAGGCACTTGCCCTGGCCTTGGAACAGTGTCTCTCCAAATCATCTCGGCATGAAGAGACCTTTGGGTCTAAAGCTGAGTCAGCTGATTCAGCCAGAGATTAGCAGGGCTTGGTTTCCTAAAGCCAGACTCCTGGGGCCCAATATCTCCTCCACAGTCATAGTCTAGTCTCCCAACCCCTTGGTCCTGTCCTAGCCCAACTCCTAGATTCTTAGATCCCCATCTCCCCGACTCCCTTAGTGTCAGGCACATTCACAGGGGCCATACCCATCCAGGGATGCTGATAATAATCTCAAGCCCCCTCCTCGTCTGGCATTTCTTAGAGCCAGAAACCATATCGCAGCTTGATTGCTGGAAAAGACCATCCCACATGCTCCTGTGGAGGGCTTTGTAAAAATCTATTTTAAGGCCTGGAAAAATCCCCCAACCCCCAGCCCCAACCGGGAGTCTCGAGGAGCATTCTCCCCAGATCCTCTTGCGCCCCCACCCCCTCACCACCCCCATCCAGCTGCCTATTTGAAGGTTTCTTAGGGAAGTTGTTACTCTGAGCAAAATAAGCAGGAAGAGATTTTAAAACAAAACCAGCTGGCGTCTGGGTTGATGCCACCAAGGGAGGAGGTCCTGGTGGGGAGGGAGAGCTGGCTCCTCTGTGACGTGAGCTCCAGGGCTGACTGTGTGTGACGAGGTGGGTCACCCGCCAGTCTGGGGCATAAATGGGATTCTATAACCAGCTGTTTGGGAAAGTATAATGTATTTATCAGGAGGTACCTATTAAGATAGTGTGTGAATGTAGCTTTGTGAGGTATGTATGTACACATGTGTGATGTGTTTCTGTGACCACGGGCCACTGAAGGTCGGTCTGTGCATCTGTATACAGAGGACTGTGTATGATTTGCACAGCTGGTTTTATTGTGACCATGTTTAGTGTGAATGAATGTCTTGTGTTCTCCTGGCACTAGGGGTAGCTTTTTTGAGCAACTGAGTGTGCTAGTCACGTGACTATGCAGGGCAGGTATCTTTGTACGTGTGTCTCTCTCTTGAGGATTGTAACATACATGTGTGGCTACTTGTACTTAAGAAACTCAGACATTACAGGTGAGACTGAATCTCCTGGATGTGTCCGTGAAGTGGCAGTGTCTGAGCATAGTGTTAGGAGCACAATGGCTGTATAATGAATCATTGCTGATTAGTGGGTAAGTCTGTATATAGAGGCGGCAGAGTATAAAGGTTGGGAGCATGAGCTCAGAAGCCCAACGCTGGGGTTTGAATCCAGACTCCACCACCTACCAGCTGTGCAGATTAGGGCATCTTACTTCCCTTCTCTGTGCTTCAGTACCTGTCTCAGAGAGGTACATGAGGAGTCAGTGAATCAGGACACAGACTGGACTCAGAACACCACCTGGCGTATAGTAGTGTGACATTAAGCGTTTGTGGGGGTGGGAGTGTACACCCACGAGGACAGCCCCTGGGCGCCCTGTGACCGCAGGTGAGGTGCCCCCCCCCAGCGTGGGGTGCCCCACGGCCTCACCAGCCTGGGGGAGCTGGAGCGTGCTCTTGCTCCACTGGGTCAGGCCCACGATGGCCACCATCTTGGCCCCGAGGCTGCTGCGTCGCTTCTTGGCGGTGCTGGTCCCGGTGCCGTCCCCGGCCTGCTGGGACCCACAGATTTCCCCACTGATGCTGGAGCTCCGCACCACGTTCCTGGAGGCCGCCGCCGAGGCCGGACCTGACTCCCCGTTAAACATGGTCCACGGGGCGGCAGGACCTCAGGCAACCCTGCGGTGGGAGGGGCAGAGAGAGAGGGGTCCCACATCAGACCCCGGGCCACTCGACCTCGGCCCCAGCCATTCCTAGCTGTGTGACCCTGGGCAAGGCACTCAGCCTCTCTGAGGTCACGAGGATTAAATGAACAGATCCATGGAAAGGCTGTGCACAGAATCTGTCTCCATCAATGGGATTGTTCTCATCAGCGTGTGGCTGCCCCGAGAAGCGACCTGGTTTGGCAGGGAAGGTGGAGGCTGTGCCGGCCCGTGACCCACTCTTGAATTCCAAGGGCCTCTACATACAAGCTGTGTGAGCTCGTGACCAAACATCTCGGGGTTTCAGTGAGCACCTCAGCAAAATGAGAAACGGAAGCACTTACCTCATAGGATTGTTGGAAGGATTAAATTAGCGCAGATGAAAGTGCCTGGAACCGTGTCAGGCAAAGCGTAAATATTCAGCAGGTGTGACTGTTGTTTTCACAGCCAGTAATGAGAGCAGGGAGAACAAATGTGGCTCCAGCCGGACAGACTGCCGAAGGGGTCCTCCTGCTTGAAGGGAGTGGGACAGAAAAGTGTAAAGAAGCAGGAAAAATCACCCTTAATTGCATGACTGGGAGGCAGCCACGACAGGTATTTTAACCTATTTCCTCCCAGTCTCTTTTCTACACATTTAAAAAAATAACAACTCATCCTGCCAATACAATTTTCTATCCTGCTATTTTTCACTTAATGTTATATCACAAGACTGTCCCAATGTCATTAACACTTTTTAGAAATGTTTAAATGCCACCATAATGTTCCATTGTATGGGGGCAGTATAATTAAAACACTTCAATACAGTTACTGCTTAGATCAAGTCCAACTTTCTCATCTCTCTCCCTTTCCCTTTCTCTCCTGTCTTTTAAACAGCACTGCAATAAGGATCTTTGTACACTGATTTTTATCTGCTTATTTCCTTAGGATCAACTCCTGGAAATGAAGTGACTGGGCTATCGAGCATGAACGCCGCTGGTAGTTTCTCCCTTCCTGCTTCCTGGCAGCGTGCTGGTTTTATCTATCCCATCCTTTGTTTCAGAGGCAGCTCTTGATCTGTTTAAAACCATCAGTGAGCGGCATTCACCTTGGTTATTCTTACTGGTCCAAGGGTGGGTATGTGACTAAGTTGGTTCAATCTGATTTAAGGGGAAGATTTGGATTCCAGGCTTACAAGAGAGGTGGGTGCTTCTCCTTCTGTGTGTCTCTCTTTTCCCTTCCTCAAGGCCTCTCCCTGAGACACAGCCCAGCCTAGGATGAAACCAGTGCGGCTGAGGGTGGTACGGCACAGAGATGCCTCCTTGGAACCCGCCTTCTCTGGCTTTCCAGTTATGTGAGACAGTGTGCTTTCCATTGCTTAAGCCAGCTTGAATCGGGTTTCTCTATAACATCCAGAAGCATCCTACCTAACACCGACAGCATAAACATATTTCTGATTCTCGGAATACATTGCCAAATTCCTTTCCAAAGTCGACAAATTTACTCTCTAATGCTGCATTCAACAAATATTCAAAGGGAATGTAGCCAACAATTCATAGTAACTGGGTTTCTCTGATGGCTCAGTGGTAAAGAATCCGCCTGCCAGGCAGGGGAGGCAGGTTCAATCTCTGTGTTGGGAAAAATCCCCTTGAGGAGATGGCAACCCACTCCAGTATTCTTATCTGGAGAATTCCATGGACAGAGGAGCCTGGTGGACTACAGCCCATGGGGTTGCAAAAGAGTCAGACACAACTTAGCGACTAAACAACCACCACCATGACATATTGATGTTCTCTTTGGGCTTCCCTGTGGCTCAGATGGTAAAGCGTCTGCCTACTATGCAGGAGACCTGGGTTTGATCCCTGGGTTGGGAAGACCCCCTGGAGAAGGAAATGGCAACCCACTCCAGTACTCTTGCCTCAGAAATTCCATGGACAGAGGAGCCTTGTAGGCTACAGCCCATGGGGTTGCAAAGAGTCAGATGCGACTGAGCAACTTCACTCACAGTAACTATATATTGGAGTGGGTTGCCATTCCCTTCTCCAGGGGATCTTCCCACCCCAGGGATTGAACCTGAGTCTCCTGCATTTCACGCAGATTCTTTGCAGTCTTAGCTACCAGGGAAGCCCAAATGGAGTATTACTTTTCAAAATTGTCAATTATTATATTGTATACTTATAACATATAATACTGTACATCGACTATACTTAAATTTTAAAAACTATCCCCCTGCAAAAGAAAGTCAGTTATCCCTAAATTGACCTATAGTTTCAGTGTGATCCCAATTAATATTCTAACAGGGCTTCTTGTAGAAACTGGTAAGACAATGTCCTAAAATAACCAAAGCAATTTAAAATTTTTTACTTATTCATTTTTTCCCATGGAACCATAAAGGCCTACAGCACTGTTAGATCCAGGAACAGAACATAGTGATTTGGTGGTTCTATACATTACAAAATGGTAACCACAAGTGACCCCAAGTTTGAACTATTATTCATATTCATGCTAAGGGTCATCATTTAATAATATTCTTGAGAAAAATATCTTTTCTCTGAGAATAAAATTAAGAAAAAAGTAAGCCCCTAAAACTCCTGGGCCTATGCTGAGTGCCAACGACGCAGTAATAAGCCAGGCCAAATGCGTCCTGCCCTGCCAGAGCCTCCAGTTCGGGGGAGAAGACAGACAGTGAACAACTAGTTATGCAACTCACTGTTTACTGGCAGTTCTGATGAGAGCTAGGAAAGAGGACGGGGGCACTGGGAACTACTCTGGGAGCAGGACTGCAGGCGCCCAGGGCTCTGTTTAGTGTGGACGTGGGGTCTCCTGCGGTCGTCCTCGAAGTCCGAGGCCTGGGCAGGGTTCAGAAGGGACGGCTGCAGGTGAGCACTGCACCTGGCTCTCCCCAGTGAGGTGCTGGCCCCCAGGGCGGCATCCCCCTTCCAGGGCCCTGTCATCTTGAGGGAATCTGATTTTTCAAAAGGACACAGAAAGGGGAGGGGAAACGGGGGTGGGAAGGGATGGCATCACTCCAGGCAGATAGCAAGACAGGCCCAGACAGCTGAGCATGGCTGCCTGCGCTCCTGGTCAGCACGGCTCCTGTCGGCCTGGCGAATGAGAGCTGACAGTAGGGATGAGTCAAAGCTGCGTCTTGCCTTCTTTGTGGCTGTCTGGCCTGCTCTTGCTGGACCTGTGATGTCTGCAGAGTCTCGGATTGTATTTCTCCATCCATCCCCCATCAACCTTGCAGCTAATGGAAAGTCCCTCTGGACTTGGGTCTACGATGACCTCTTTAGTTTCCAATTCTAGTGCCAGTCTGTGTGTTTGTTTGGTATCTGCATGGTCTTCTGGTGGACGGTGGGAAAGGGCTTATCTGATACTTTGAACTGGCTACAGTATAAACCTAATTTACTCCTTCAGGTATTTCTGTTACATGCGCAGTTATCTCCACGTCACAGATAAGAAAAATGAGTCTCAGAGAACTGAAGGCCTCGCCCATCCAACTCAGCTAAGAAGGAGCCAGGGCTGGACTCCTGTTCTGGGTCTTTTGTTCTCACAGACAGACAGATATGCTCAGCAGCCCCTGCCTTTTTGCCCCAGAGCTCACCCAAAGAGGGGAGCCCAGCCCTCCTACACAGGTTTGTCCTGGATCTCCAGGCTGAGAAAACCCCAGGCAAAGTATCTGTGATCTGAAAATCTGCTCTGGCCCAGGTTCCCAGGTTGGCAATGAGCATCTGAGGGGCAGCAGAAACACCACTTAGACCACAGATGGAGAAGCAAGTGCTTCCTGGGTGCCATAGGGGAAGAAAAGGAAAGAGGGTAAGGGACAAAATTCTTAACCCTGCCAACCCAGGGGCTCATGTTTCCTCATGAATAATGAATGGAACCAACAAGCAGATGGTTTGACATCCAGGACTCTGCACCATCCACAGCCACGTTCTCATCTTTAACCGCCCGCCCGGGAGAGCTGCTGAATGTTTTGGAGGGCCCAGGGTCTCAGGGCCTGACCTCTCGTCCCAAGTCCAGGGCAGGGCAGCTGGGAGAGTTCAGAATCAGGAGGTAGGATGATAATGTGTATACAGATTCTTTGTGTGACCTTCTCTGGGCCTGGCTTACTCATCTGTGTATAAACCGAAAGGGTCGGATAAAGTCTAACTCTTGAGTCCTTTCCACACACAAGGCAGCAGCAGGCTCAGAATGAGAGCTCTGGTTGCTTCTTGGGCAGCCAGTCTAGCTCAAGACAGAGAGCCAGTCGGAGCCAAGCACCTGGCCTCCATGAGGAAGGCAGTGCTGCTCAGAGCAGCCCCCCAGGACATCAGAGCATGGGATAGGAGCAAGGCAGCAGATGGAGATGGGGCGTGGAGAGGGGCCAGCACACAGCATTTCACATATTGGTGGTCCTAAGAGATGGCTAAAGGAGTGTCTGCAAAAGCCACTGCAACAATGCCCTGCCTCCGAGCAGGACTGCCCCTTTTCTAACCCAGGTCATGGCTCCTGATGGAAGGAAACCTTCCCATGATCTTGCCAGGTCATGAAAGAATCACTCTAAAGTTCTCCCTGCTGAAGCCTCTATAGTGACAGCTTGGACATCCCTTCCAGGGGTCCCTTCCCACTGTCCACCGTACCTGCCAAGCTCCATGCCAGCATATACCTTCCAAGCTCCCTAAGGAAGGAGTGTTTTCTTTCCAGCCTTCAGTGTTGGACCTCCGCCCTGGGGTCTCAGTACCCTAAAGGCTCCCCACACCCTCCCCTGAATCCTGACAAAAGCAGGACTCAAGTTCCTGCCTGGCCACCCTGGGCCCCTTACTCCTTTTGACCATGTGTCTAACCAAGTAATAAACCTTCTCTGAGCATCAGTGAAAGTGAAAGAAGAAAGTGTTAGTCTCTCAGTCATGTCTGACTCTTTGCAACCCCATGGACTGTAGCCCACCAGGCTCCCCTGACCACGGAATTCTCTAGGCAAGAATATTGGAGTGGGTAGACATTTCCTTTTCCAGGGGATCTTCCTGACCCAGGGATTAAACCCAGATCTCCCACATTGCAGGCAGATTCTTTTACCATTTGAGCCACCAGGGAAGCCCATGAGTGTCGGTAAGGCTACCCAAAAGCCCAAGATGAAACTACCTACTCACTCTCTCAACAGAAAACACGAAGGAATCTGTCACAGAGTGGTGACCTGTTAGTCTGGAAGGAATGGCAAGTTACTAAGGCTCTTACCACCCCTCCCTAGACATCACTAATCCATCTCTCCTTCTCACTGGGGCCATAGTTAACTTGAGAATTCTTCTTAACACAGTGCTGCATCACCAACTGATGAGAACCAGCTCATGAGGTCAAACTGATTTGCCTCCCTATTCCAACCCAAGCCTTTCATTTTGCAGAGGAGGAAGTCAAGGCTCAGAACAGGAAGGAGACACACCCAGGGTCACAGAGAAAGCTGTCAACAAAACCAGAGCTCCAACCCAAGACTCCTAACTCCCAGGTCCTGTATCACCTGGCAGGTGTCTCCTCCTCCCCTCTCACCTTAAAGAAAACCCCGACTCACTGAACTGATGAATCCGAGTGCAGTGTTCCCATCACAGGGGGCCGCGCCCCTCCCAACAGCTCACCCCTAGGGCATTTACACAAGTCTTCTGTTAACTTCTGAGACACCAGTTTTCAAGAGAGGAGGTGAAGACAAAGTAGCTTCCAGGAGGAGGTGATGGGATAAGAGTCTGGAAGAAAACAGGAGAGCTTAGAGGAAGGGCTGGAGAGGATACCTGTCCTCCAGGTCTTCCAATAGCTTGTGGAGTAAAAAAAGACAGACTTTGGAGATAGTTGTGTGCACTTGAGCCAATCATTCAAACTCTTTGATGCTCTTTCCTCCTTTAAAACTGTCCAAACTCCTGGGTCCCCTAACCTACGTTTTAGGGACCTCAATGGTAAATTGCTGGTGCTAATGCCAAGGGACTCCTCCAGGTCCAAATGCTAACGAGTTCTAGATCCTATTCTCCCTCTGTCTTCCCCCTGACTGATGGGGTCTGTGTCCCTCCCCAGATGCTCTGTGACACAACCAGCAGTCAGGAGTGTGTGTACTGGGGAGAGGGTGTTGGAGGGCGGGGGCCCGACTCCCAGCTCCAGCTCCGCCCCCAGTGTGTGACCCTGAGCAGGTCATTCAGCTTCTCTGAATCTCCATCTCCTCTTCTATAAAATGAAGTTTACTGGCCACCTGGATCCGGCCCAGCTCTCTGGGCTGGACTGGAGATCAGATGACTTAATGAGCATCTGTGTACAGTGCTTTTTTTTTTTTAAAGCAAAGTTCTTATATAGATATACCTATTCATTGGCTGTGCTGGGTCTCAGTTAGTGCACAGGCTTTGCTCTCGTTGTAGCAAGCAGGGGCTACTCCCTCATGGTGCTGGCTTCTCTTGTAGAGCATGGGCTCTAGGGTGCTCGGGCTTCAGTTGTGGTTCCCAGGCTCTGGAGCACAGGCTCAATAGTTGCAGGGCAGAGGCTCAGTTGGGCAGCATCATGTGAGATCTTTCCAGACCAGGGATGGAACCCGTGTCTCCCATGTTGGCTTCTTCACCACTGAGCTACCAGGGAAGTCTCAGCACAGGGATTAAAAGCACAGGCTTTGAGACTTGCCTGGCGGTCCAGTGGTTAAGACTCTGTGCTTCCACTGCGGGGGTAAGTGGATTCAATCCCTGGTCAGAGAGCTAAGATTCCCACATGCTGCAATGCTGTGCAGCCAAAAAAAAAAAAAAAAGCATAGGCTTTGGAGGCAGACTTAGTTCAAAACCTAGATCTGTCACTTACAAGCTGTATGACGCAGGGCAATTTCCCTGAGCCTACAGTTCCTCATCTCTGAAGTACAGATAATAATGCCTGCTTTAGGATTCTTAGATGAAATATAAGTATTGCTAAAATAAGGATTGGTACATGCTACATGCTCAGTTGGGTCATCATATGATTACTTTGCATAATGTGCCTTTGTAAACTGTAAAGGACTCCATAGGTGATGGTGCTTATTAGTCTGGATTGCACACCAGGTACAACCACTTCATGGGAAGCCTCCGAGACCAACAGGATCACCTCCCACTGCAACTCTGGGTGCTTCCACCCAGAGTCTAGCATAAGTGTGAGACCTGGGTCCCTGCACTTCTCAGTTGAGGTGGGAGCTAGCATGTGATGCTGTGATCTTCCCTGCCAGCATCTCAGCTCCTGGCCCCTCATTGGATGCTGGATGCTAGGTTTAAGGCCCCTGCCTCAACCTTGATCCAGCACTAGGGCTTGCCCACCAGACCACTCAGGCCAATCTGTGCCCATGTCAGAAGCCAGACTTAACCTCAGAATTCCTCTTAACACAGTACAGCCTTACCAACTAACAAGAACCAGTTCATGAGCTAAACCTGATTTTTTTAAACCTGTATCTGCAGAAGCGGGGAGGGGGGGTCCCTCATTTCTAGCCCTTACTTTCCCCCAGCAGAGTGAGAAAGGTGGGTGACAGAGCTGGTGCATGGTCGGGGACGGTGAGCTGGGCCCAGGGAGGACACCAGCCTGAGTGGGGAGCACTCTGCCAGCTCTTCTCCTGGTTACATGACTTTTATCTGCTCCAAACCAGGTTTGCACACACACTACGCATAACAGGAAGAGACACAGGGCACAGAATTTCAAAGGTGTGACTACACATCATACAGACCCATATAAATTATATTCATTTAAAGACACAGTCACCTGTGTACACACACATGCACGCATGCACACACACACACACCCCTTCCCCTGGCTCCTGCCCAGCTCAGAGAGGCAGGATGAACCTCATCCCTTCAGTGGCAGGGAAGTAGGAAGTGTCATTCCTGGATCTGTGAGTTCCCTTGGCCAGGCATGCACACTAGCTCTGAGCAGGCGCTTGTGTGAGCCTGCACACACACACAAACACTTCATACACACTCTGGCCCCCAATCTCACCCTCCTGGCCCCCATCCCCACAGGCCGGACAAAGGATCTCATCGTGAGGTTTGTGGCGAGGAGATGAGAAGGCTGGCAGGGAGCAGCTGCTGTCACCATGGCTACAGAGCTGACCCACTTCTCCTCCACCCAGCCTGGCCCACCTAGCCCAGACAAGGAGGGACAAGCATCTTTGGGCCGGGGGGGCCCTCTCCCGTCACACGCAGTAAAGGAGTGGGCTCTGATGGTGTGGTAAAGGAGGAGTTGAGTCTGCGTCCTGATACAAAGACCACAGCCAGACATCGCCTGGGGAGAGCAGGGTGCTAAGCACCCGGCCCCTGCAAGACTCGGGTCTCCCCCAGCCTCAGGCTTCTGGCCTCAGGGGCCCACGTGGTTCACGCACTTGCCCTGGACCCATTCTCAGACACAGGCCTCACAGCAGGGCAGGGGCCTGGGTGTCTGGACCCAACCTGTGTCCTCCAGACTCCAAAGACTCCGGGACACGCAGGGTGAGACAGACCCAGAGCTGAGCGAGCCCGGTCTCCTGTTCGGGACAAGGGTCCTGAGGGTAAGGCTGGTCTTCCCTACGTGGGCTGGGGACTGCTGCGGCACAGCCAGGCCCCCCTTCCTCCGACGGGGCTGCCTTGTGTCCTCTCAGCCAGGGGGCTCCTGAGGACATGGCCACACATCTTCCCTCAGAACTGGGTTCGAAGAGGCCCGACTCGGCTCCAGACAGCTTAGTCTTGTGAGGAGCCGGCTCACAGGTAGGATGAGTCACTCCAGCATGACAGCCTCCCGCGGCTCCCCATTTCCTTAGGAGAAAGTGAAAACCCCTCACAAGGCCCACAAGAGAAGTGACCCAGGTCATCTTGTACTCCTGCCCTCCCTCTGTATTCCAGCCACACCATTCTCTTTATTCCTCAAAAGGACCCCTTTGCCTCCTGTCAGCCTGGAACGCTCTTCTCCAGCCCGTCCCCACCCTTGTGTTCTGACGACCTGGCAGCGTCTGTCACACCACCTCTGCTAGCTCAGCCCCACCTCTGACCCTAACCTTCACTGGCCAAGTCCTACTGAGCGCTCGGTCCCTGACTGGATGTCACGTCCTGGGAGAGTCTTTCCAGACAAGGGCAGACCCCCTGTCTTGCTCCCCCAGACCCTACACTGTCTTTGCCTGTTATGGGTTGAACTCTGTTTCCCCCTACCCTCTAAAAAAAGATAAGTTTAAAGTCCTAACCCCTGGTACCTCAGACCTTGTTGGAAATAAGAGTCGCGGCAGATGTGGTTAGCCAAACTGAGGTCATCCTGAAGGAGGGTGAGTCCCTAATCCAGAAGGACTTATAAGAATACGGCTATAGGAAGACAGAGAGAGACCACAGAAAGAATCCATGTAATGATGAAGGCAGAGACTAGGGTGACAGGGCAACAAGCCAAGGAATACCAAGCACTGCCAGCTGTCACCAGAAGCCAGGAGAGAGCCATGGGACAGCCTCCCTCGGAAGGAACCAACCCTGCTGACACCTTGATTTTAGATTTCCAGCATCCAGAACTGTGACACAGTACATTTCTGTTGTTTTAGGCCACCTGCTCTGTGGTACTTTGTTACAGCTGGTCCTAGGAAATGAATACACTGCTTGTCTTATCTTGTTCAGTGCCTGCCTCCCACACCATGCCCGCCTCGCCCCCCGCTCCAACCTGGCTGTGTGTTGCTTAGAAAGAGAAACTATGCCATCTTCTGCATCCAGAATCCTCCAGTGCCTGGCACACAGTAGGACTCTGTAAATATTTGTTGAATGAGTGCATGGTGATCTAAAATAAGCATTAACATAAAAAATGGTATTTATAGCTGGATAGTAGAATTGTGAGTCATTTTTATTTTCTTCATGTGACATATTGTGTTTTCTAGAGTTACTACGTTAGAAACTGTATTAATGCTCTCATAAAGAAAAAGTGAAAATACGTATTTTTCTTTTAAAAACATACATTAAAATAACAGACATTTCCACCAGCGTGTGTGTTGTGAACAGGGAAAAGTTCTGCTCTCTTGATCACTGTCTTTTTATTGATTAATTGATTTCTTCTCATGTCACAGGAGTGCCTTCTAGAGTCAGATTTACAGCTTGAGCTCTGGGGCCTTGCGGGGCATAGATTTCAGGGGAAAACATCCAGGCAGAGTGCACATGCTTCCTGGCCATCTCCATCACCCAACCCCTCTCACAGCTCGTGGCCAGATGTGGCCGCTATTGCCTGACAGGGGCTGAGAAACTTGGTCCTTAAGTATCGGACTAGAAAACACCCCGGGGCTGAAGACCACTCCCAAACAGAAGCAAGATGCTGCCCTCAGTGGACACACCAGTCCAGAGCTTCTCAAACTTAAATGTGCACAGAAATTACCTGGGAATCAGACTGAAACACAGATTCTCATTCCAAGGGTTACAGGAAGGTGGAGCTTGAGTTTTTGCACTTCAAACAAGCTCTCAGGTGATACCACAGTTGGTGAGGACCACCCAAAGCACCAAGAGGTAAAGATAAAAATACCCTGGCTGCTCTGCAGAAGGAATGAACTGTTTAGGATGGGAAGACCAGAGCAGGTATCATGGATCAATTCACTGCAGAACACCTCAAGAGATGGCTGTGATTTGGAGAGGAAAGAGGTAGAAACTAGCTGGGAAGGACCAGGGGAGGAATGGTATGTTCAGAGGCTGGTGAACAGAGCAATGCAGTTGAAGCAGGAGGTGGGTGCAGCTGCGGAAGAGAGGGCTGGGAACGTAGGCTGGGAACAGCCCAG